CCTCCATTTGACTGCAGTCCTCGTTCATCAATAATCAGTCAATTTCAGACAAGTAATGCAGGTTGAGTCAAGAATCAGAGTAGCTTGATTTCGCAGGTTGAAATGGGGAATAGGGAGATTGATAATGGAGTCACCAGTAATGCCATTAGTTGTACCAATTTATCACATTGGAATGGATGAAATCCTACCTAATGAACCGCCGTACATGATACGTGCTGGAAAGCGTGTGACGCTGTGTTATGGTGAGCCAATAGACTTTGGTGATATGTTGAAGGAGTTGAGGACTGCCGATGCCAGTGAAATAGAAACTAGGAAGGCCATAACTGATCGAATTGATGAGGAACTTATGAGGTAAATAGCACTCTCTGTCGTTTTTTCGGATGTAACGTAAAAAAATGTCAAGAGAATATTTCCCTTTTTTGCTGAAGAAACGTTAAAAGACTCATTTTTTTTTTTTAAAACTCCTCTAGTTTAAAAAATATTGAGATAATTCTCAATGTAAAATTTCTCAATTTCGTTTGATGAAATTTAAATTAATTATTAATAATGATTATTGCAGGTTAAAAACGATCACAGAGGATCTCCACGTTAGATCTTGACGTCCAAGTGACGGCCCAGGTCGTCACTCCTAGAATTAAATTGGGTCAAGTTAAATTGAACGTTCGAGATATAATTGAAAGTGAAAAATCGAACAATTAAGAACAATCAATGATGTTTCACTGGTATTTAAACTTCATATGGACATCATCTTTATACACCTCCGTAGCCCCAGGGAGATTGAACAAAAGGGAAAAAACTTGAAAAACTAATGCAATTGGTATCACAAGGTCAAGAGCCATCGAATCAGGTGATTAATTACATTGATTAAGTTTTAAGTACAGTAGAGCTACTGTTTTTGTAGATGTCGTACGCAACTAGAGGCCTAAATGTCTCTGAAATGTAAATAAAATATAATTCAGTGCATTATTTTAATGAAATCTATTTACGTTTGAGGCTGGACCACCGATAACTCGGGAATTATCGAATTTAGAGGAAAATATTCGAGGATTTTCTTTATACGATTTTTTGAGAGTTATAAAAGGTTTTCCGGTTTTTCCTACAAATTTTTATTAATCTGTTAAAAATAGGTTTATCCATTTAAACGACGTTTCAACTTTTTTTATTCTTGAAATGAATAGTTTTAAAAAAGAATTTAAGAGGCTGACGAGGCCTGAGAGCAGATACAAAAGGCATCAGACATTTTTCCATAAATCCAGTCATTTCCAGAAGTACAAGAGAGTCATCACGCAATAAAGTGTTTTTATACTTAAGTGCCTTCATTGCACTAGAATTGAACAGGTGAAGATGTTTCTATGAATAGAAGTGAAAGAAGTGGGTAATCGTGTCAAGTAAACGACACAGGCCATCCAAAAATGCTCCTGATGCTTTATAAATGGATTATTTAAATATTCCGAAATGACTCACAATTTTAATGGTATATTTATGGTTTAAATTATCTCTAAAAATAATTGAGAAATGCAAACTGTAGTGGAAATGAATCACGTCATGTGTGATAATCAGAGAAAAAAACACAATAAATTTCTTCGATCAAAAAAAATGGAAACTGACTATTTCCTTTAATTGAAAGAATAACAATGCAACTTCAAAGCAAATATTATATTACGCATATTTTAATATTCACAGTTCAGATACACAGCACATACAACGTCGTTAAACATATGTTTGTTCATGATTTGTATTTCTATACGCAAACAACTCGAAATTCATTGGCGGGTTTCTCCTTGGCACATACACATCCTGTTCAATGTTTTCAAATGTTTCTTTCTTCTTTGTAAACTGATCACTCATTCCGTTGATGATCCCACATGTTGATGCGAGGTTTTTGCACGTAATTAACTCTTTAAAACAACTCAGCATTGAAATTTATTGGTGGAAAAAGGTGACGACTCACAGCACACGACATTTAAATTATTTCGATAAGAATTATTCTGCGACCATATGTCGAGAGACCTCTTTGTGAAGACTTTTACATCCTACAAAAAAATCTATTGACATTTTTTTATAAATCTACTAGTTCCAGCGATTTTCGGAAGAAAATAATTCATAGAAAAAGTCTACAGAGAGGGTATCATTGGTCGATAAATTTTGTAATTACAAACATTTACGAAGTAAGGAATTAACATTTTGTAAACTTGTCGATATTAATTTTGCTGATACGAACAGATGTTCAAGGTTTTTTTTTTCATTAAAATCTCATGTGTTGCTTAAACAATACATATTTGCAAAATTGTAGAAGTAATCCTTTAGATTGTACTAATCAAAACCAATTTCTTCATTTTTTGAAGTATTTTTAAAGAGACAGACTCACTGAAAAGAGTAAAAAATTAATTCTACAAAAATCTCCCAATCTAATTGCAAAGATATTGGCATTAAAAATATAATCTCTATAAAACTATCAGATACAAATTTTCACATTTCTACGCAACAAACGGATGTAGCTTTATTGCAAAAGGTCAAAAGAATACTTTCTCCAGAATCTCCTCGACCACTTCCCCATTTTTTTTCTAATCACCTGACTATCAATAGATTTTTCCACTTTTTTTTCCTAACTCAAAAATGATTAAATTTCCAAAGTACAAGGAGATGATAACTATTTTCATTATTCATCCACTTTTCTTATTTATTTATTCTCTTACTGAAATACACTGACTTTGCATCTGACTCCACATGTTTAATTTGATATAACTGTTCATGTGCATATATCTCATATATTTTTACATAAAAACCTTGCAGGTATTCTCATCCGACAAAATAAGATAAACTCAACAAAAGATTAATATTCTTTTATACATTCC